CACATTTCAGACAGTCCACCTGTAGTAGCATTTTGAACACAGCTGAGACAAGACTGCTTGTCTACTCCGGTGCCAGCTTTTCCTGAAGACATCTAATTAACATCCCATCCTTACTCACCATAAAGGCAGAATCCCCACTCCACAAAAGGAAACAGAAGCAGAATATGGAAGTGCCTTATTCAAATGCATAGTAAAACCAACTGTGAAACAGTCTCCCCACTACACTCCCTTACTCTATCTAGTGTAACAGATTACTAGGATTTAGGGGATGTCGATGGCAGCATCTGCAGCATATCTACATTGGTTCCCTGAAGTTTTATCTAAATAAATCCCTAGCTGTGATTAAATATGAAGCACGTAAGGCTGGCCATCCAGTCTTAAAACGCAAACAGCATTCCTATAATATCAAACTTTTACTCCTTTGGAAAAGGGGAAAGCATCGGACCTACTTTGTAATGTAATATTAACCAAATTATAAAGTTAAATTTTCAATCACACAGCTTCCTAAAGAAACAAATACACAGTTAAATGTAACATATAAATGCAAATGTTTCCTACTGCTCAGTCATTCATTAAGATCCTCCACACTCATTTCTGACTTCTCATTCTTCCACAAAGTGAATTCACAAATTTAATTCCTATCCAACAGTTATAGTTATGTATTTGTTGCTACAAACGATTGTAAAATTTGAGAACAATCCTTTCAAAATCAAACTGTGAGATTCACTTTCTTTACAGAGATTCCAAAGAAACCACTGGTAACTAAAGACAATGAACTCATTACCTACGAGAAAATTTCACTTGTCATGCTTTTGAGTGGGACACCCTGAAGTCACAAATAGGAAATATATTTTATAGTTCTAACTAACAGCTACACAACTGTAGTCTTCCCAATACCAGAGAGCACAGAGTGAGCCACTTCTTAAACAAAAGAAGACCTGAGCATGCCAGTAAGAAGTAAGAATTTGCCCAGGGCTTGCTTGCTATCAAGTAAGCTAACAGGGATATTAGGATTTAGAGTGAGAAGAGACCTCAGATAAGCTAAGATCCTTCATCTTATACGGCAAGTAAACTGATTAAATGATTTGTCCAAAGTCGTATACTTAGTAAGCAGAACACAGTGCAAAATGACCAGTAACTTTAGTAAGAATCGTACTGGTTAGTTACTTAATTTGAGGAAAGGTACTGACAAGCTGGGGTGCAAACATTACATCACAAATTCAGTCCTGAAAGTGACCTTACAGGTCATTAAGTCACCCCTCATTTTACAGATGAAGAAACTGAGGCCCAGGAAGTTAGATGACTTACCCAAGGTCATCTAATTGCTCAAGAGCACTGGAGACCTTTGAGCTTTGAGCCTAGGACTTTTTTTTACTCCAAGTCCTCTTAAGTGATCAGATTCGAAACCAAGCTACAAGTGAAAAGGGTAGGTAATGGGGGATGTTTAGCTTCAAGAACTGTCTTCAAATGCCCAAAGAGTTATTAGTTACTGTTCTTGGACCCAGAGGGCAAAACTAGGACCAGTGGTGAACAGACCTCAGGATTTCAGCTCAACATAAGAACTTCACAATGATTAAAAACTGTGAAAATAGATGGCCTGGTAGTAACTCTCCTTTCACTCACCAGAAATCAAGTAGAGAATAGAAACTGCTGTAAAGGAATTCATGCCTCCTTAGACTCTAAAAATGGAGGTGGTACTATAATACTAAACCTCAAGTTTTACCCACAGCCTAGGAGAGGTCAAAATACAAATTACAGAAAGAGTTGTAAAGTTTCTGAATGTTCTAAGTCTTTAGGCTAGGGACAGAACGAGGTTAAATCTATTATTATATGAAATAGCAACATGAAGACCATTGGGGGTTCACAAAATCTTGTCTAACCACCCAGAAGAGCTTGTTTCTAAACAAACAAAATGAATCCATTTCTTATTTGTTTCTTTGTTGTAACTAGAAAAACTTATTAACACTTTATTCAAAGCTCAGGAAGGTTAGAAGTGGCTTTGATGTAAAAAAGGAGAGCTTCCAGTTTGAGAAAAAATAATCCCTGGGGGTAATAATTTCCTGCAACAGATACTTAGGCCAAAGCAACCACCTTAAATTCTACCACTACTTTATAAAGTTTATAAAGAATTAAATATACCCAGGCAAAGGAGGGGAAAAGAAAAAGAACAAGGGAACATTAACTACCCCTCAAGCCCAACAGTGAACTGGCTGCCCAAGGAACAGACCAAGGGCATCAGAAAAGTGCTTACTGGATTTTTTTCAGCTACACACAAAGTCCAACAACTGTTTCCAATGTCCAAGGAAGGTGAAAAGGTGAATGAAAACTTAGAAAGTGGGGTTTGTTTGGGTTTTTTAATTCCCTTAGGCAGAAAGTCTTATGCAAACTTTATTTGCTTTATAGGCTATTATAAGAGTTTCAAAGTCTTTTTAAAAAATGTCTCCCAGTCCGTTTCTAAGGTCAGAGAACACATGAAACCACCATTCTAAATATATTCCCTTCCAATTCTCCTTAACAAAGAATAGATCCAAAGAATGATCCCTTTTAGCACCGAAACCACCTACCACGGAAACCTTTGAATATTGACATATTCAAACCGTGGTAGGATGTTTGATTTAACCTTCAGGGAGAACAGGCAGGAAGTGGTGCTTGTCTCTGCTTCCTATCTGCAGTCAAAAATGGCCCTGTTTTCCAGGGAGGCTTAGGGCTTAGTTCCTCTATTTTATCTCTAACCTGAAGAAGGAAGTAACAAAAAAGAAATTAAATATTTGAATTTCAACGAAGAAATTCAAATAAATTGGCAGGGACACTGCAGGGAGGGAAGAATAAGGAGAAAAGTGGGAGGAGCACCAGATCTAAGTCTCCAAATGGACAGATGGAAAAATTGGGTTCATCCCATTCATCCCAAGTATAGAGAAGGAAAATTTTATTTGCTTAGCAACCAAGAGCCTTGGGATCCATCCATTTTGTTGGGAGACACACACATCCTCAATTATGATTGTCTCTCCCCCTTTCCCCCCAGAATAGCTATTTCATTGAGCCTGGGATATACAAACAAAGGAAATCTATATATTTGTGAAGACAGTTTAACACACTGATCCACAAAGGTGGAAACCTCACCTCTTTTTTGGTTTATTTGGTTATCTCCCAACAATCATATTGGCTCCTCCCCCTTCCTACCTTAGATGCGCAAGTACATCATTGAAACAATGTAACTGACCTCAGTACCTTTAGTAACCTTAGCTTAAAAAAAAGTCTTAAACAGGTAACTCATTTATTTTCAAGATCCTATTTTGCCCATTCCGACCTTGAACTGGATCTCTAAAATTCCCAGAACTTAACTAAAAAGGGGGCATGGAAGCACATTTCCCTCTCCCCCAAGGTGAGTTTATTTAAACATATCAATTAATAATTTTATATTCCTCAGAAGAGAAAAAACAGGTTGAGAATTTATATGGGGTATAAGATTGGGGGAAAAAAAATCAGCAGCAATCCAGCATTTAGTGCCTGGGCACATAGTAGGCACTTACTAAATGTTCATTAAACGACAGTATGCCCTCCTTTGCTTGGACTTTAAATAACAATACGAGGCCATGTGTCCCTCAGGTATAATCCCCTTCCCCTCCAAAAGAAACGTTTTTTAAATTAGGATTTTGAGGGTTTTCATGCCATAGTCTTCCAAGTTTCTGAGATTCAGACTGATGCCTATGGACGTCTTTCTCACGTCCCCAAACCCCAACTCAGAAACTAAACGTGTCCTCATTGCCAAACTTTCTTCGTGGAACCGAGGAATCTGCTGAACCGTATTAAATTCACAGGTTTAACAAGGCAGAAGACAAATCACCAAGGTGAGGAGAAATCTACCAGGTTTCAACGCCAGCCCCTCCTCCCTATAAAAAGGGCAGTTTTAACCTGGGAGGGGGGAGGGGGAGCCAGAGGGGAGGGGGAGGGGAAGAGGGAGGCGGGGCTCCAGAAGGGAGAAGAAAAGGGAGGTGATATGCTCGTCCACGGGGCCAAAAGATGGTGGGTGAATGAATGCGGGAGGGACGGGATCGCCGGCTTGGTCCACGGCGGACTGACCAAAACTGGCAAAAGAGGGACGTTCCGGGGGCAAAACAGCCTCCGAAAAGGCGAAAACGAGGCTGAGATTCCCTTTTAAGTGTGAAAAAGCTCCTCCGCAGAAAGAGATAAAGGATGGAACCCATTTATTTCCGCCACAATTCGCACCGACGGCGGCCTGCCCGGGCCCCGAGGTCCGAACCTTCGGCCAGGCCCAGCCCTTAATCCATAAAGATGGATGGGGGCCACATGACACGAGCAAAAGCCCGTGGGGCCCCGAGGGGGTCTCGCGCCCCCGGGCCCTCTGCCCCCCGGGGGTGGGGGGGGGATCAAAGGGCGGCCCGGGGTCCGCGCGCTCCCGGCCGGGCCACGCTGCCCGCACAGCCCCCAGGGGATCGGCCTCCCGGCGGGGAGGCCCAAGGCCGGCTCCTTTGTGCGGCCGCCGCCCCGCCTCGAGCCTCGGGGGAACCGCCGCCGCCCCCCCACCCGCCATCTTCCCGGGCGGCACGCGGCGGGAAGAGGGCCGAGGCCGGCGGGTTCGGTCGGCCGCCCGGGGGCCGCGGGAGGAGGGGCGGGAGGCCGGGAGGGAGCGAGGCCTCCGCTCCGGCCGCCGCCTCCCCCTCCCCCGCCCGGGGACTCGCCCTCCCCCGGCCGCCATTTTACAACCAGCTCCCTCCACGGCGGGAGCCCCGGCCTCCTGCCCACGCGCGACCTCGGAGGGGGGGCGGCGGCGGCGGCGCGGAGCCGCACGGGCCCGCAGCTCCCCCACCCGCAGGCCCCGGCCGCGCGCCCCAAGCCCGCCTTCCCCTGGCCGGGCTGCGAGACACCGCCGCTGCCGCCGCCGCCATTTTGTCTCCTGATCCTGGCCTCTGTGGGCGGCGGCGGCGGCCGCGGCGGCGGCGGGGCCGGGGATCCCGGCTCGCCGCTCCTCCCCCGCTCACCGTCGTATCGCTCGGCCTGCTCGGCCAGTTTCGCCTGGTACACCAGATCCTCCCGATCGTCCATAGCGGCGGCGGCTCCGGCAGGGTCTGCGCGACGGATGGCAGCGGATGGCGGCTCCGACTCTCTTGTCAGCCTCTCGCTCGGCGTCCGGGCAGCAAAGATGGCGGCGCCTCGATCCGGGAACTTCCGCCTGCGCACGCGGACAACTGCTCAGCTCTATGGCAACCGCTCCCTGGCAACTGGCGCGGGGGGGCGGGTCCGGAGCCCGAGCGGATGGAAGGGGCGGGGCCGGAGGGGGGGCCGCGACCCAGGAGGAGAAGCCGGGGGCGGCCAGGCCAGAGGATACCCGGCGAGCGGGGCTGGGGGAGGGGGCGGCCACGCTCGGCTTCCCTCCTGGTGGGGCTGACCGACTGACACACTGAAGGAGGGAGGACGATCGGCCTTAAACTTGATCCCCGGGCCGGCTGTCCCGAGGCCCCGCCCTCTCCCCTCCCCCTCCCAGCCCTGGTGGGTCGTGGTCCCGCGGGGCCCAGACGAAGCGCCCGACCCCGGCTAAGAGGCGCGGGACTGGAACCGGGCCCTGCCCCGTCGTGTGGCCGGGCCTGGGTCTTGATTGTCAGATGGGGGGAGGGGAGGGAGGAGGCATTGAATCCTGACTTCTGGGGACGGAGGGCTAGGCGTGGGGCTGGCGGTGCGGGATGAGGCGTGCCCCGTGACCCGCCCTGCCCCGCTGTCATGCCAGGAAGGCTCGAGGCATCCCGCCTGGGGTTCTGCGCTGGGGGGCCGCGCGCTTGTGTGTGTGCCTGCATGCATGTGTACTTAACTGTCTTGGCGTGCACTCAGCCCAAGGAGTAAACCTGACATCTATCCAAGGCTGCACGCGGCTGCATGCGCCCTTTTTCCATTCTCAGCTAGGCCTTGACCCGTGAACAGCCTTCCTCAATCTCAGGAGTTAAAAGACTTCGAACTGGGAAGAGTCTCTATACTGTTCCCAACTCTTCCACATATTAGCTGTGTGATTTGGGACAAATCACTTCTCTCCAGGCCTCAGTTTCCTCTTATGTAAAAGGAGGGTGTTTGACAATATGACTGTACAGGTTCCTTGTATCCCTAAGGAAACTCTGGGTGTTTATGCTGGAAAGGAGAAGACTTAGAGAGAGAAAATATTTTAATTAAATTTTTTTCAATTATCATTTTTTTCCTCCATCCCACCACACTTGAGAAGGAAAGAAATCCAAAACCTTTGTAAGGAAGCACATTCAAGCAAAACTGGATTCCCATATTGGCCACATGAAAAAACCTTATCTCCTTCTGAATAATGAATACCTCTTAACAGGAGATGGGTAGCATTCATCATCAGTGCTTGCTGATCAGAATTATTGTCTTTCAAAATTGTTCGTTTTTCCAATATGGTCATGCTATAAATTGTTCTCTTGATTATGCTCACTTTTCTCTGAATCAGTTCATACAAGTCTTCCCAGGTTATTCTAACGCCACCTCTTCATTTCTTACAGCACAGTAGTTTTGTTTTTTTTTATTACATTCATGTCATAATAATAGTAATAGTATTTGCGTATTGCTTTCAAGTGTGCAAGCACTTCAGATGTGATCACATTTTATACCATAGTTTGTTTGGCCATTCTCCAATTGATGCTTACTCCCTCAATTTCCAAGTCTTTAACACCACAAAAAGAGTTGATGTAAATACTTCTGTGCTTATAGGACCTTTTCTTTGTTGGCTCAAAGAGCATGTGCATTCAGGGGTCCAGTTCCAAAGTGCTTTTCAGAATGGCAGTACCATTTCAAAGCTCCATCGGCACCTCCTGAATGTGCCTGTTTTCCCAAAGCCTTTCCACCATTTGTCATTTTCCCTTTTTGTCAATTTGGCCAATCTGACTGTGAAGTGGAGTCTCTGAGTTACTTTAATTTGCATTTCTCTAATTATGAGTGATTTGAAGCAAGTAAATAGCTTGGATTCTTTCCCTTGAGAACTGCCTGCTTATATCCTTTGAAAATGCACATGCTCTTTGATCCAACAAAGAAAAGAAGGTCCTATGTGTATAAAAATATCAAATGGGAATGGAGAGAGAATATTTCAGCACTGGAAGGCCTCCACTCTCAAAGAGGAAGTGGACTAGTTTTGCTTGGTCCCGGAGGGCAGAACCAGGATTCCTAATCATTACAAATTTCAGGAGGAAGGATAAGGAAGGGTCTTTAAAGGTAGAAGAAGCTGCCTCTGGAGTCAGCAGGTCTTCTATCTCTGGATGCAGAGCTTCAACCAGAGGCTGGAAATCTGTGTTCATGCCCCCCCCCCCCCAAAAAATAACATAAGCCCCTTGAGAACAGAAAGGAAAGAATCGTTTCATTTTGAGGTCCTAATACAGTTCCTAGACTCAAAGGTGCTTACTAATGCTTGCTGAATGAATGAATGAATGAATGAGTGAATGAATGAATGAAATTATAGCCACTTTCTACAAGATTCTTCTTAGAACTGGTCTCTGGTGTCCCCTCCAACTCAACGATTCCATCATCAAAAAGAGTGTGTGTGTGTGTCTCTCTCCCTCTCCTTTTCTGTCTGTCTCTCTCTGTATCTGTTTCTCTGTCTGTCTCTCTGTCTCTCCCTCTCTTCTCTGTCTGTGTCTGTATCTGTCCATCCGTCTGTCTGTCCGTCTGTCTCTCTGTCTCTGTTACCCCAGCTTACAAGTTGTATCTGTCTCAAGGTCAGCCACAGTAATCTACCCTGAGGTGGGTTTGGGGCTCTACACCTAAAACATCTAAGAAAACAAATATTCTCCACAGCCTGAGCACACAGGAGAAGGGCTCATCATGTCTTTTAGGGACTCAGCACATAGTACGCATCACCTGGGCAGAACGAATCACAGAAAAACCAATCACCAAGTCCTTACTACTGTTGGGATCTGAGCAGAGGCCAGTCTAAAGCAGAACGGATCTCAGCAGGCCTTGGGCAGCTCTACCCTCTGGCTCCTAGTGGAATCTGGGGGGCTCCCTCCAGGCCTGTTCCACCATTGGGGAGAATATGAAAATGTGAAACATGGTTTCTACCCTCAGGGAGCTTACAATCCAGTTCAAGACAGAAAATTATCATCTAAACAAGAGTTAGCAATACCGAACGGTGTATAACTGTGCTGACTTCTATAGTAGATCTCCACAGGGGCCTCAGTTCAGAGCGGAGGGTGGTCGGTGAGGGCTGGGGTATACTAGTCAGTCATAGAATCCTACAACTTGAAGGGGCATTACAGATGGCATAGTCAGGCCTTTCACTGGACATAGGACCAAACAGCGTACTAAAAGAGCCAGATTAGAACGCAGGGAACAGCTCTGACCCATCAAGGAAGGCCTAGTGCAACTGATTGCATTTGAGTGAGAATCTGGAGACAGGAATGTTTTTTGGAGCAACGTGAAAACTAATTTCTAGATCAGTGGTTCTTAATCTTTTTTTGTGTCCTAGACTCCTTTGACTATCCAGTGAAGTCTATGGACCCCTTTTCAGAATAATGTTTTCAGATGTGTAAAATACATTGGATTACAAAAGGAATGCAATTACTTTGAAACAAGTTCATAGACCTTCAGTTAAGAACCATTTATCTATACCATAGATGTATCAGGAAGCAGAAATCAAATTTTATGGGTAGGGTGAGAGCCAGATTATGGACAACATTGAAAGTCAGAAAGAAGAGTTTCTATTTAATTCAGAAAGAAATAAGGAGGAACAGAAGAGTTTTGACCAGGGAAGCAACATGATTTTTTTTAAATGGTGTCTTAAGTAAGGAAAATAAGCCTGGCAGCAATTTGCAAATGTATTATAATGGAGAAGATTCTAGAGTCAGGGAGGATAATGAGGAGAGTTTTCCAATAATGCAGATAGGAGGTAAAGGAAGTCTGGGAGCCAGCAGAGTAGAAAGGAAGCAATGGCTACAAGAAATATTTGTAAGGCGAAAACCCAACAGGATGTGGCGAGTGACTGGATATTGGACATGAAAGGAGAGAGGAATGAGTCAAAGATAACTCCAAGAATTTGCTTCTGGTGACGAGGAAAATGGCGGTGCCGCTGACGAAAATAAGGAAATTGGGAAAAAGAACTAGTTGGGAAGGGAAGACAGTTTGTTTTAGAGATCAGTCCAATCACCTTATTTTACAGAGGAAAGAAGTGAGGCCTAAAGAGGAATGAGACTTGAGCAAGGCCATACTGGGTAGTAAGTAGCTGAGCTGGAACCTGAACGCCATCTCCAATGCTCTTTCCACCAGGCCAGCAGCAGTCAGAAGAGGGACAGCATGGTATAGCAGAAAGACTATTTACTTTGGAGTCTGAGGCCCTTACTGCCTGCATAACCTTAGGCAAGTCACTGCCTCTGTTCTAGGTCTGTTTTTACAATTTCATCTCTAGGTGAGGCGGGTGAACCTGATGGCCTCTAAGGCTTTTTCTAACTCTCAGTCTGTAATCCTAAGAGGAGAGAACTAGAGCGACATAGATTTTGGGGATTTGTACAGAGGTTGATAGTTGAAAAAAAATTATAGATGGACTCTCCAAGTTTTTATTGAACTAAAAGGCTAGGGCAGAAGGTGACGGTCGGCACAAAACTGTTGCACTGTTGAGGTTTAGGGGGCTGGGACCCCAAAAATCACAACACCCTGGTCCTGCCCAAAAGAATTCAACCCAAACCTCTTTCAGCCAAAGACAAGGCTTGAAAAGCCCTCCACATACCCCCCCAAAAATGGCTCTAAACAAATTCTAAAGCAGCAGAACCCACAAAAAGACAGAGTGAAACAAATTTCTAGCCAAAGACAGCCTGGATAGTTGATCAGAAAGGTGTATCGCGCTGGTAGGGGAGAGGAGCACAGTTTGGTGTGGGCGCACAGGCCGCAGCGACCCTGGAGCAGGCCTCAGAGGGCTGAATCATGGGCAGCTGTGGCGGTTTCCAGACTTCTCAACCCATGAACGCCAAAAACAACTTAGAAGGTCAGTGGGAAAAGTCTGTGACCGAGGTGAGAGAGGAGCTAAGTCTCAGCTGTAAGTCTCTAGTGTGGCCTGGGGCCGCGGTTTTTTCCTGAGCTTTGGGCACACAGACTCAAGTGGCTGGCTGATCAGAGGGGGATTGCAGGGATCTCTTTGCCAGTGCTGAGGCAGGAATCTCTTGCTTTACCAGTG